TAACAAACGATATTAAATTTTAACAAACCTTTTCCATCTAGCCTATTCCAAAAAGTATGTGCTGTGTGATTGTGGTGTCGAGGGGGGGGGGGGTTAGTAAATTTAAAAAGGTCCTATTATGAGCAAAACATATATCAAAATCTAATTTCAGACGCGGATCCAGAATTTTTTTCCGGGGGGGGGGGGGGTCCACCTCAGTCAAAAAAATTCCTATCCCAGAAATTGACAGTCAAAAAAAAAATAAAGTAAAACACACGCAAACGTCAAAAACCTATATCGTGGGGGGTAGGGTGGGAGTAGTGGTGACTTCTATTGCCGCAAATGTTTAACTTTTCATACTTATTTTACACATATTCGTGTTTACCAGGGGGGGATCTGCATTTTCCAAGGGGGGTCCATTGTAACTTTTTTTTCCTTGTTTTAGTATATACATTTTTTAACCTTGTAAATTCCAGGGGGGGTCGGGTCCTGACCCCCCCCCCCCCCCCCCCCCCCCGACAGATCCGTGCATGAATTTACATCAATAATAAAATTCAGACTGGTATATAATGAATTATTAAACATGTATAACATAAATATAAGAGGTTCTGAGTTATAGGTCACAGGGTCTGAGAATTTCATACTCAATTTGATGAATACATGTAAATTATAGAATTATTTTGACTATTTCTTTGGAAAGCCGCCCAATATGTAGGAGCGTGTATTTAGAGGCAAACACCTTAGTGCGGGTATTACTGTCTCATGACAGCATCTAGTTTTCCTATATTTTCAATTTATCATTTTCCAGTGAAATTAAACCGATCGTGAATGTTATTATTAGTTTTTAAAAACATTTAAATGCTGATACGAAAATTTTGAATTAATTTCTTGCACCTTGAAATTAAAACCGTCTCTATTGGAACTTTTTGAGATATCGTGAAATTTTAACACCGTGGAATTAAAACGAATTACAGTATTCCACAGCTAGTTTAAATAATACATCTACTGCAAAACAACAGTTTTTATCATGATGTTTATACGTATGACACTTTAACATGTTAAGAACTCTGCTGTGATTAACACTACAGTTCAAGTATACTATAAAATATTACACCTTCAAGAAGTTAAAAACAATTTCTTTACTCTCCCTCCCCCCCCTGATTTTTGAAAGTATAGAAATATTTAAAGACACTTATTAGAAGACAAAGACATATATCTAACAAAACCAATCCAAATACAAGTACTTGTGAATGACAGAGAATTAGGAGAGACTTTTTATATCATCGGTTAATAAGAATAACAGAGCAACTATGTCTACAGATATACATCTCAAGTAAACAGTATACTCTTATTGATGAAGTCTCATGGAGTATATTCAGGTACAGTATAAATTTTATCATTTGACTGGACAGTGGTTATGTTATTGGTTTCCACAACACTTGCACAATAAAGTTTACTGAATAAATACATAAGCGGATTCATTAAATAAATACAGATTTTTTTTTTTTTTTTAAATATTTTCAACATGTTCAACTGACTCTGTCTACAGAGATATGATTCACCTTGATCATTCATTTAATTGCTGGGTACCGTAAACCAACTTTTATTTGCGAAAACTTATGTTTGTAATTTTTGTTCTTTTTAAATCCATGCAATTTCTTCTTCATTATGGCTCCTTTTATAAAATTTAAAATTCATACTTCATTTATACACAATCAAATAAAAAAAAGTGGCATAGAAATATTTTTCCAAATGAACATGGTAAAAATCTATGAAACTTGCAGGTGAATAAAAGTTGGTTTACAGTACACATTTCACTTTATTTCCAACAATTATTTACAATTTATAATGGTATTAGTATGCGATGTTATTCTAATCCAATGAAATAATTGTTACAAGCCTACTGGGTACATTAATATATATACAATAAAAGATACACGGTAATAATCACCGTATAAGTGGAAATTTAGCGAGATGCAAATTTAGCGATTTGTCTAAAAAAATAGTTTTTATTTTTAGCGAGATGCAAGTTTAGTGATTTTAAAATGTTCACTAAAGAAGCTATTACAAATAAAACGTAAATTAATTTTGAGCGATATGAAATTTTAGCGATCTCAACGCCCTCGCTAATAATGCCAAAATTAAATCATCACTTAAAATTCTGCTTGTATACGGTATTACACTTTCTACTGCCTGCCAGGATTTGTTTGAATGAAGAGAAATATCAATCTATTCCACATGCAATACTGTAAACCATCTACTATTCACAACGTTCATTCACTAATCATCAATTTTAAAATGATATCATGATCATGATGATAATTGCCACCGAGGTAAACAAAACTAAATAAATAACTCGCTTGTAAAAATATTCACCAGTAAATAAAAGATGACAAAACTTGCCAGTATTTTTCTGGTATAAATAAAAGTTAGTTTACAGTTTCATTTCTACTTAGGGCCTTTTCACAAAGTATCCGCCCATGTTCTTATTCTCAGAATTTGTTCACATCAATACCAGAGATAAAAGTGTACAATGGTTCAGTTCTCACCAAGGACACTCGAATCATGTGGATCCCATTATTGACCAAGTACAAAACACACAAACAAGAAAAATTAAGTTTTTGAACCTAAGCAGAATCTAGGGCTATTTGTTTAGTGTTGCTTATCAAAACACTACAGTACTGTAAATCAAGTAGCATTTGCGAAAACTTTTTCTTCTGGATTTTTCAATTTAAATGTAATCTTTGACTTTTTACTTTTGCAAGTAGGAAGCATTCAACATATTAAACATAAAAATCAATGGTAAGCAGTTACTGAGAGAAAAAGAATGATATGAGACTTCCAAATACTTGTAGCGTACGAATAAAAGTTAGCATACAGTATTGACAAATTTTTATTTAACTGATTCTGATAAGAAATCTGGTGCAAATTGATGCAACGTTAATTTTGATTGGATGGAATGAGGTGAACACCTATTTTTGTTTACTCTCTGCTGAGTGATTCTGATTAGTGTGTTACCAAACATGGCTTTCATTGGCTGATAAGTTCAAAAAAATGGTTAATCTTGATTGGCTGTCTCTTACCATGTAGTAGCCAGGCAACAGTTTCTGTAAAAAGTCGGCCTCTTTGTGTTGTACTGTTTTTATGATGAATTCATCATCCTCGCTCAGGTAAAAGATGCTGCCACTTGCCCCTGGGTTAGACAGCTCTTTCATTGGTTGATCACATAGCGAAAGCTAAAAAAAATCAATATTTTTAAAATCAAAATGAAAAGAACTTTAACATCGTATTAAAAAGTTTTCAGATTTTACATTATTCGGGATTAGACAAGTTTAACTGTACTTAAAATATCAAAAAAAAAATTGATTATGCCATATCTTGGTCACCCCTAAGGCCCTTAAACTTACCAGAAAATCATCTGTCTGAATAGAGAACAGTTCCCGAAAATATCGAAATGCGATGGGAGCGTAGGTCTTAAAACGAAAGTCACTACAGTGATGAGCCGGGGTCAGGTTACTCCCCTCTCTGGAAAAGGAAAAGTTAATATAACTGTTAAGAAATGCTCTCTAAATTCAAATTTTATTGTCACAGTAAGTTTACAAACTTCAAATTACTGCAAATATATTATATTATGCGTGTACAATATTTGGCAAAAATTGACTTCTGAACATGTTAGTGTCAATTTGAATTACTGCAGTTCCTAATATTCTGTATTATTTATATATATGTGTGCAAGAATTAAGCATTGTACTTGAATAAAATGAGGTTTCTTTCCATCAAAAGCAATAAAAAGAATACACATCCAAATTTTATACACTGTTATATGTTTACAGTAACTATTATAATTGCAACTTGAACAGATACTGTATCACAAGTGTTAGTTACCATGGTTTCTGTAAAAATATTTTATTTGGTGTGTACATCATGTACATGTACAATCATTTCATAATATATGGTGAAAATTGAATTTTTTATATAATAACAAGTTAGTGATAATATGATAACCAAAATGAGAACAGATTTACAATGGCTTCCTGTTACAAGGGAAAAATAATATAATCAGATATATATACAGTTCATATGATTCAGTAGAACTTACGATGGAAAAAACACGCTTTCAATGACGGCAAAATCCTGCATAAGGAGATCTCTTTCAGGTTTTGAGGAGAGTCCACCAACACTCTGACCAATGCCTAGCTGTATAGCCGCCATCAGCTCCGAAGTGGACCTCTACAAAATACACAGACAATGCTATAGACATGATAAATGCCTTAATCAAGTACAGCAATACAGTAAAACTTGTTTAGTATGAACACAGATATTGCGAATTCATGGATATAGCAAAGTCATACTGGATCCCCATCTATATAAATTTAACGAATTCCTTGTACTGATATAACGAATTATGGATATAGAAAAGTAATTTTATAGGTCCTAGTGACTTCGTTATATCCGAGTTTTACTGTACTTCGATATATCAATAATTGATATTTTGAATACCATAGTTGAAATGATTTGGAATTAAGTCTGTCCTAAACACTTATTCTTTGGGCATTTGTTGGGTATACTGTAAACCAACTTTTATTCGCGACGACTTTATTTCCCAATTTACCAGGGATAACCTAGTTCGCGACGATTAATTTTCGTGATCAAGCCTTTTTGCATCTGTTTTTAATAGATGAATATACTGAAAGTACTAGTTCGCGGCGAGAAATATTCGCAATGATGAGGTTTTCGCAAACTTCGCGAAAATTTCTAGCACGCGAATAAACCAGAAGTCTCTGTCGAGACTGAAGCTCTACTGGTTTGAACTTATAGCAAAGGAAGAGAAGAGTACTTAAGCAGCTGGGATTTGAAACTTTACAACAGCAATATATAGAATAATGATCGTTGATAAAGTCTCTTTATGTTCTTAGTGTAGTCTACTTGTGTGCCAAGTTATATTGAAATCAGACCAAAACTGTAGGAGGAGTAGCATTTTGAAACAATTTTACAGACATTTCAATTTTTAGTAACCACGGCAACACAGTTCATCAAAATTAAAATTTGATACACAAAATTATGCATCTTAGTGTATTCTACTTGTGTGCCAAGTTATATTGAAATCAGACCAAAACTGTAGGAGGAGTAGCATTTTGAAACAATTTTACAGATATTTCTATTTTTAGTAACCACGGCAACACCGTTCATCTAAATCAAAAACCAATATATAGATTTATGTATCTTAGTGTATTCTACTTGTGTGCCAAATTATACTGATATCAGACCAAAACTGTAGGAGGAGTAGCATTTTGAAAGAATTTCACAGAAATTTCTATTTTTAGTAACCACGGCAACACCGCTCATCGAAATCTAAAACCGATACACAGAATTATGTATCTTAGTGTAGTCTACTTGTGTGCCAAGTTATACTGAAATCAGACCAAAACTGTAAGAGGAGTAGCATTTTGAAAGAATTTCACAGAAATTTCTATATTTAGTAACCACGGCAACACCGTTCATCGAAATCAAAAACCAATACACAGAATTATGTATCTTAGTGTATTCTACTTGTGTGCCAAGTTATACTGAAATCAGACCAAAACTGTAGGAGGAGTAGCATTTTGAAGGAATTTCACAGAAATTTCTATTTTTAGTAACCATGGCAACACCGTTCATCGAAATCAAAAACCGATACACAGAATGATGTATCTTAGTGCAGTCTACTTGTGTGCCAAGTTATATTGAAATTAGACCAAAACTGTAGGAGGAGTAGCATTTTGAAAAATTGTTTACAGACAGACGGACAGACAGACAGACGGACAGACGGACGGACGCCGGACGCATTACTATCGCATAAGCTCTTCTGGTCTCTGACCAGTAGAGCTAAAAATGGTTTACAGTATTTTACCCTGAATCCTGAGATATCTTGATTCAGAAGTTTTTCAATGAAATGACTCATAGATCTAACTCATAGTTCTAAGCTAAATATTGCTATAGCAGGAATTTTGAGCTTCATCTTCAGAGAAGGAATTGTTGATCTGAGGCCATCCTTAAAAAAATGTTTGTTTGGAATTGCCGCCTGGGGGTTTTCAGACCCAGGAGGGAGGGAGGGAATTTTTTTTTTTTTTTTTTGAAAATTGAAGCTTATAAATAGAAACTAAAAATCACAATGAACAGTGGTGATTTTCGTTAATTTCCCTCTTTCTTTTAGTTGATTAATATCATTTTTGTCTAAAATATAAACAGAACGGTACTCAAGTATCAATCTTTCTTCGATGTTAGATTTGCTTATCTATTGAAAGTCAAAGAGCTCTTTCAGCGTCAAACTTTTTTCTTTATTTTAAAAATCTTTTTAAAACAATTTCTTTACAAATCTTTTTAAAACAATTTCATTAGTTTATTTCATAACATTTCTCTTTGAAATTTAGCCCTTCATTAAGACAACCCTTACAAAGAGTGCGAACCACACAAAATTTCTTATGAATAGTTGGAATGTTTTGTGGAAAAACGGGAGGGGGGTGCTAGGTATGTTCTAGAGTGTTCGCCATGAATCAGTTCTAACACTAAGTTTCAAAGACTTTTCATACTGACAGACAACATTTTTCTTTTTGTATTTGGGAATAAACATTTATGACCCATGTAATTTTTTAACTGGGAACTGAACGATCATTTTCAATTTCAACATGACGGGACTTATCCTATCAAGTTCAAAGGGCAATCTATTACAATAGCTCTTTCCAGGTATCGGTGTATCATTCCATTTAATTTTTTATTCACCTTTTATTTTTATGAAGATGCATAAATGTTCTGGTCTTCAACGCTTGAATGTTTTCACATCCACTGATCCAACTTGGTCTGACATTTTGGCGGCTTTCATTTTGTCAAATCGCCACCTATATTCCCTATATCATAAATACTATGAAGAAAGCGTTTTATTGACCGGTGTTGTTAAATTTATGTGAGCTCAAACCCAACTTTAAAAAACTATTTCGAAGAACGAACTAACTTGTAAAAAGCAATGTCTGACATAAGACGGTAAAAAAAATATTTCCAATATTTTGCCAATAAAATTTTTTGGGCGGGGGGTATTTCAATGAGGCGGGCGGCAATTCCAAACAAACTATAATTTTATTTTGGCCTGAGAGACTGTCATGGTTGTATTTCAGCGATGTTAAACATGATTGTTAAAATTCAAATGAATGTCTAGAAAAATTTTATCTCATGAGTGTTATACAGAAATCTACAGTAATTGGAGTGCTTAATTAGTTCCTTTATGCCCCATTTGTGAATTTCTTATTCAATGATGTTTTGAAACTCAACCATGATTAGTGGAAGTTAGCAGAATCTGACCTGTACCTTGCCACTAGCTGAGTACTTATAGAATTTTCATGCAAGTATCTGTTTGGAGATGGGAACTCAGTTTATATGGTCATATCCAAAAGAAAGGCCTGTTTTCCTGGGCAGGATTTGAGTCCATATTGTTAGCATTCAACTTATCTAACTCTAAGAAAAAAAAACCTCTTACAATTACACCAAGTAAAAATCAAAAAAAATTTGTTTATTCACTATGGACTTTGATATTGAATACAGTTCGTTATCTCAATATCCTTTATGCTGAGGGATGCTTTGTGGGGCTTTTTCAGATGCGATTAAGCAAAATGAGTTTGAAATGAAAGGTCAACCTATAGAATAATTTATGCCTTAAAGTCATTTCATATTAGCATATGTTGTAGTATGCAGACAGAAGTTACACATTTTATGATTGAGCTAATCGTTCATAATTTTACAAACAATCACAAATTGATCAAATATAAACTGAAAAAAATAGGCAAAATCAGCTACTTTTTAAAAAATTCAACATCTTCAAAGCTGCTTCTTAGCAGATGTGTGTGCACAGACTGAATTATTTTCCCCCAAAGAGACAACTAACACATCAATTTATATTTATTTTAATCTTTTACATCCCTAATATCAAAACCCATTGTTCATAGTTTCACCTTTTAACATGTTTAACTTCAGGTGATTCTTGGTCAGGTCCCAATGAACCTAAACCAAGGATCCTTCTACCGTGTGTAACTAATCTGAAGTAATCTTTCTCTTATACCCATCACTATTAAAGGTCTTCCCACTATTTGTCACTCACGGCCTTAAAGCTAGTTAAGGAAGCTGAGCCTATAAAATCAATATGGTTTCCTACTGGGGTTCATTTTTTTCCTCCTTTTTTTCATTTCAGCATTCAATCTATAATCATTGTAATAAGCTGCAGGTAGTAGCCTCAAATGCTACTCCTAAATCCACCAACCGAATGTTATTTATAAAGATGTGACATTTACTAAATCAATATCATTCAAATACTGTATATTACGGCACAATTATTTTTATTTGTAGTACATACATGTATACTTATATCATGTATATAGGCATTCTATACTTATCAAGCTTTAATCATATCAGGTAATTTTGCAATGAGCCTCTCCTTAATTTTGGTTAACCATCCAAAGTTTTTTATTTACAATCATAGATAATGAAGATTCAGAAATAACAACATGAAAAAATGACATACATATTACATGCAATAAGGTCCAAAAAAAGAGAGAAATTCTTATTAATTTCACGATTTTTTAATTATTGTATCTTTTTAAATTCCTTAACACTGATCAATGTGTCAAATTTGGACACATTCGTTTACTTTTACTCCTGTGTGAAGATGCTGAACATGCAAAGATGATTTAACAAGCTACATTATTGTATTAAGACAATTGATCAATGGAATACAGTGTCAGAGTAATATCTTGTTCTAAATTATGTGAGTTATCTAAGCTAGTAGGAACACTACCTTATATTTTCTCTCAAATTAACTTTCATTTTAATGTATTACTAAATTTACTGCAACCTTTTGATACATCACTAACCAGTGTTTTTCCTTTATTTTTAAGTAAAGGGTTAGAGATCAGTTGTACCAGGCTAGCGGCTGAGGTTTATGAACAGAATCTCTGTGGACCTAACATTAAATTTTTATTTCAGAGCAACATTTTTGTCAATTGAAGTGGTCAATTTGGCCGATAGTCGGTTCTTAGGGAAAACACTGCTAATCAGCAATTTTGTGATGTAAACCAGGCTATTGTGATGTCTACTACTCTCCGAGTTTTCTTTCAATGAACGATAACTATATCATGTATATTGCGGGAAAATGCACTAGGTATCCCAAGAGGTGGAATATGATGAAAAGCATGCCGACGACCGTGAAACATGAAGATTTGTGGCCCGGTCACGTGATAATCTAGAACCAATCAGTTAACGTGTTGTGTAGATAATTATAATGAGGTATTATACTGACACAGGGATTTTCCACTCACTTTTGGGAATGGGGCCCAGGCCCTTGGAATTGGGAATTTTACGAGATTTTATCACTTATTGGGAAATTTTATTGTATGATGTTTTTCAAGAAATAAATACTTAAGAAGTTAAGATACATAAAAATTGATCTTTTACTTAGCTATTCAGCACTATGAATCAGAGAATTGATCATTATAATAAAGTTTTACCCAAGATTCTTCAAAATTTTGTTCATTTCATTCAAATTTCCAAACCTAAACATGTTTGTATTTTGTGAATTATGTCCAAGTTACCTACTTGAGTTCTTCTTCTTTGAAAAACTGAACATAGGCAGTTCATTTTTGGGAAAAAGGGAGGGGCTTTGCAATTGGGAATGGGGCCCATATTCGGCCCTACACGGGGTAGTGGAAAATCCCTGATAATAGTACCTTATATTTTCTTATCAAAGCATTTTTCTGTTCCATCATTGTAGAGCCCCTCCCACCCCCACCCCTCCCCACAACACACATCCAACCTTAATTTTTTAGTCAATGAATCTATGGTCTCTGCCCCCCCACCCCACCCCACTCCAAATCGCTTCACTGTTTATAAAGAGTAAACTGCCCCCTGCCCCAAGTTATGTTTAATTGTTATATCATATAACATAAACTGAAATAAGCTTCATTCCTTAAAATAAGATCTAATTATATTACAATGTAATGATGTATTACAATTCATTACCTTTTTATACGTTACAGCTCCTGTTTTGTCCACCCTCCTGTGTCCTATCTTGTCTTTTGACTTGGCAGCCTTTCCACTTCCCATCTATAAGGAAACAACAATTAAAATTGAATTTTTTTTTTCTAATCTTATTTACAAATCTAGTGCTTAGTAGTACTATGCATAGTTTCCACAGACATTTAGAATTTCTTCCTCTCGTTTTTGTGTGATAGATCAGATAGCAGCATAACATACTTATGGTGTACACAGCTAGTAAACAAACACATCATACATGTAGATTCATCTTTACATCTACTGAATAATTTTTTTTATTTCTTAGAAAACTATTGCCGTTTATCAGTTCATGAACAACACTTGGCATGTCACCTGTACAGATTTCTTGATCAGCGGCTGTTCCATCAAGGAAACTTACTATGATGTACATATCAATAAAACAGTAAGTTATCTTTTTAATCCTACTTTAAGGTACAATGATACTCTGATAAGAGAGATAACTTTTAATGACAAATTGTTTGTATTTTATTCAGCATATACATTTACTTTGGAAAATCATAAAAGTTAAAGAAAAATTTCATATGAGTGAGCAGAGGGTTTATGAACCTTAAATGATGATTTATTCAGAATGAATAAATGTAAACAATAGAATGCCTTCCTTTGGTTATTGGTATGAAAATTAACATCACAGCTATTGTAGAAAAAAATTTATGTATTAAACCCACTTGGGCCTTTTATTGTTTAAATAATTACAACGATTAATATACACATGTACTACGGCTGCAACAATATATAAACCGATACATTCCTATACACTGTGCCTTGATGCCAAAAAATTGTAACATTTTGCAATAAAATAATCTTATACCTGTGTACCATCATGATATAAAATATTTTGAGCAGTTTATTTTCTTTATTTACATGTTTTAAATAAAATTGGAAGGACTGATTCTTCAAAATTCCCATGTGTTCAGAGCTTTATATTTAAAAGTTTAATTAAGAAAGGAATTTAATTTTTGAAGATTCATGAGGTTATGAACTACGACGCTTCACGCCGGCATGAAGCATTGTAGAACTTTCATATACCTCATGAATCTTCAAAAAATTAAATTCATTTCTTATATTTACATTATTTTTCTGATGACTTGCCATAAATTTATGCCGTTCAACTGTCATTTTTAAAACAAAACAGTGTGCACTATATTTTTTTTACTTTTTGACGTCAAGAGTGGTATTATGATGTAACAATGGAGATATTCATGCTTATTCGTGGTACATACCTAATGTAATTCATGAGAAAATATACTGCATTTTATTTTGTAAAGAATCACAGGGGAAATTTATTGGAAATGTAAATATTACATAATGATTTGTGAACTTGAA